CAGTTACGTTTAAATATAGACTTATTACACCTTAAAAGAACCGCAATGAATCAACTTTGAATGAAATAGAGATCTTTTTCTAAATTTAATTCGCATTTCGATTTAAAACTAAAAATAGCTGCTTTTTGACGGACTTTTCCAGTTTCAATCCTGTATCACCTTATGGGAGCTGATTGCGTCTCAAAAATTTGACCTGAGTTCTGAGAACCAAAGATTTTAGGCCTGGGCATGGGGCATAGTGAAACCACCCGGGTGGAAGGATCTTTAGTTAGACTGTAGTTTGGACTGTAGTGTTCAAACTGCAGTCTTCAAACTGCAGTTGCAGAGGAGAAAAAAAAAAGAGAAGTGAGTATAGTTAATACATTAGTTTGGCAATTGAGTTTTCAGATATTTTATTATGCTACTTTTTCTGTAGTTTTCCACACCAGTTTCGTACTGCAGTTTTGAGACAATTTTGAGACCAATTTGCTATCGAGTTTCCGACAATAGTATGAAGTTGTCCTGAAAGTTGTATTTGCATCTGCATTGCAACTGACACATTAACTGTAATTCTGACGCCAGTCCTGCAGATAACAAGTGACTCCGAGAGCGACGACGAGAGCGTTACGTCCTGGTTGACCCTCGACGAGACCGGTAGCAGCAGCCCGGGGAGCAGCAGCGGCGAGAGCGTGATCCCGCCCACACCGGAGCTTCCGCCCGCCGTCCCGCTGCCGCCCCCAGACACCGCCGGCCCGTCCTGGGCGCAGAGCCCCGTCTCGCAGGTGAAGATGTCCTGGTTTAGGCCCGGCGCCCCGCCATGCGACTCCTGTAGGTATAGGGGGAGGAGCACCCGAGGGAGCCCCCAATCCGAATACAGCCAATTGATGTATTGCGTTGTCTGTACTTGCAGCTCCTGACGCAGCCTCGCCGCCAGCCCCCCGTCGGTGCCCGAGGCCAGTAGTGCAGGACTTGCTGTCGAGCCCAACGCCCCACTCTCCAGCACTCGACGACCCGGACCCGTGGGGCTGCCAGGCATGCAGCTCCCCGGGCACACTCTGTCCGCTTTGCGAGACCTGGGCCCTGGAGGAGGTCCGGGCGGAGAGGGCCTTCAGCAACCTGCAGGACCAGGAGGCCGAGGAGGAGCGCCTCGACCGGCAAGCACTTGAGACCACCTTCTGGCAGGGGCGTCAGTCAGAGAACGCCGAGGCCGCGGAACACGACGGGCACCTCAACGAGGAGGCCTGCGAGTCGCATCACAAGGCCCAACTGGAAAGCCCATAGATCGGACCCGTTGAGCAATTGTGCAGCAGAGTCTGAATAAAGTTGGTGATGGTCAAAAGTAAAGCTGCATTATTATCCCCGCATCCCGTAGTGTAGGAGCAAGGGAGGCAGACCGCCGCCAAGCCGCGGGCGAGAGACAGCCGGTACGCTGAGGACGCAGCCCAGCTGTGAGGGGAGGCGGGCGGGGG